TTGCTTATCAGTATACTACAAGAAAGTACTATGTTTCAGTAAGTGAGAACATGCATCTGGAAGAGACATGCTAAAGAAATATGAAGCCTTGGGTGTTTTTGGGATAGAAATAATTTTTAAATATCTGTTACAGTGTGTACATTCTGATCACCACATAAATGGAAACTGTTTTGTAGCTTTGTCAAATAAACCACAACTTATAGAATGTTAAGATATCACATTGTGTCTTGTGAGCCATAGAACAAAGCTGCCACTGGAAATTGACAGTTCATTTCAGAATGGAAGTCCCCGTGGTGTAGCAGTTGGACGCTCACCTGGGGATCAGAAGTCATGTGTTTTTCCTTTCAAAGGGACCTTCGCTGCCAGGTCGACCTAGCCTTAAATGGGTACCAGGTATAATCATATGAAGTAAAAACGGCCGGCATGATGCTGACCACATCTCCAAAAGCTAATTGGTTTATAAAAAAAATGGGTCTAGTTTTATATGCCCAATATGCCTAACGGCTGGAAAAAGGGTAATTTTTTTCCTCTAATCATTTCAGTAGGATGAAGCCCAATGGTATGGCAAGTTGATATTTATTTTTCGGCCAGTGTCTAACAGGAGTGGGTTTTGTTTCAGACATACTGGATTGGAACTCATGTTAACTAGTCTGAATGTGATAATCTAGTTCAAGTGTTACTACTATTCAAGGAAGTTTAGAATCACTGACTGGTCCAGGTCTAGCAAACAGGCAGTGCTTTATTTAGTGTGTGTTAAAAAATGGAGAATTAATGAAGAAATCAACAAAGATGCAATCAAGCCAATCAAGTTACAGGACTAATGGCATGAATATTGAAATACAAGCATATGAATATGAACACACACAAAAAGCTCTGTCCAACACCGTGTTCTTACCTTACCAGTGCTATGCTGTCAGTGTCAGACATTAACACTGTCTTCATAAGACAGAAGAAAGATAGCCAGAACCAACAAATGAAATGTTCACATATCAGTGTAGGTGTAACGACTTAGGAACGATGATCTTAGGAGGAGATTCAGCACAGAACCAATACTGACCTTTATCGGTAGATAACAGATAAAATGATTTGGCTATGTAACAGGATTGGCAACAGACAGTGTACCACAGAGAGCAGTGTAATACAGATACAATGGTAACAGAGCCAGAGGTCGACCATACAGAAAATGGACCACAGAAATAACAGAGACACTGAAAAGAACTATTTACGAAGCAAACAGAAGGGCTGGTTTGCGGGGCATTCCAGGAGAAGAAGGAAAAAAGGCCTGCAGAATAAACCACTCCAAATTATTAGATTTAAAAAAAGTTTTATATTTCCTCAAATGGGTTCTGAGGAGGGGGGGGGGGGGGGGGGGTTTATAGGTTTTAAATAAGCATGTTCTGAAAGGTGACTTACTAAGGCTTTGTTGAAATCAAGTGTGTTGAAACAAAAAGCCTAGATATCACAGCCTAGCTGTAAACCATACCTTGTGCCAGCAGCCATTTTAATGGCAAATAGAAGAAGAAACAGAAGTGTGCATTAAGTATGTGATGAGAAAGAAATGTTAATTTAGCGTGAATATTTTTTGTAACCAAGTATAGCGTCCATTGTTAAAAATATTTGGGTGTTTGGGTTATTTTCTGTAATTCTAACGGTGCAGAGAAACAGGGTTATGCATTAAATATATAATGAGAGATTTTTTAATATACCAAAAATGTTTTTAACATGTAAATACATTTTTTAACAAATGTATTAGCGACCCTTGTTAAAAACAAATGTTTGTGTAGTTTTCTATAGCTGTAACGGGCCCATAGCCTATTTTTTCTTTAGTATTCCTGGAGTGTAGGGTTACAACCACTGAAATAAGGTTTGCTACAAGAACGGTGAAGAAAAAAGTACTCCAAAAAATGTAATAAATTTTGGCAAGGACTGAGACAATAATTTGTCTTAAGTATCAGCAAGTAGCAGTCAATATTTGTAGTCGGATTATGAGAAGAAGAAGTTAAACACATTTAACATCTGGAAAAGGGGGAAGGCAAGAGAATCTTAATAACGTTTCAGGGTTAAATAAATGTCACAATAATTGATACACAGTGTTGGAAGCAAGGCACTTAAGGAAATGTTTACCTGTGATTTGTTATATATTTGTTAACAGCACTGGCCACATTTTAGGTTATTTGTTTCACTGAGAAAGGGTTAAAAAAAAAGATGTTAGCTTCTCGTTCACCGGCTGTAAACTCCAGTTTAAAGTTCTGGTTGTTCGTCAACTTCTGGACTGCAGTCCTGTTCCAGAACCTGACTGTTGCGTGTGCATCCGTTTGACAGATCTGAATGCAGACTATTGGTTCCTTGCCTCTCAGGCAGATGCACTCTGACTTCGAAGGAAGCTCCCGATTAGTCGACTCTTCTGACATGCTTTTGGGTAGGCAGTGGGTCTATTCTTGTTTTTCCCATATTAGGGCCCCCGGAACCCATACAGGGAGTTAGCTGCATATCTTGTGTAGGACTTTGCAGAACCGGCCCTAGCATTTCTCGGCCGGTTTTACTGGACAGTTTGCCATTGTTTTTGTGAATGGTCGGCTGTCAATACCTCTGTCCAAATCAGTGCAAGGCAATCTGCTGCACAGTCTCCCGTTGCTGGAATCACACAGGGCACCTCTGTATTATGAGGTGTGGTCACAATGCCTAAGCCACAGTCGCCGACAGACTGGAAGTATTCGTTTGCACATTCTTTTTTCTTCTTCTTCTTTGCGTTCACTGGCTTTTAACTAAATTTCTGGTAATTTATCAGCTTCTGGTGATCTTGTTCCAGAACCTGAATTTTGCTTGCAGATCCATTTTACAGATCTAACTTTTTTGTATGCAGACTGTTGGTTCCTCGCTTCTCAGGCAGATGCACCTCAACTTTGAAGATTACACCTCTGATTAGTCGGCTTTTACTTCATACTTGTTAGTCAGCAGTGGATCTGTTCTATTTTCGCCAAAATGGGGCCATGATACCCACACGGGAAACATGAAAAATCGAAATCTAAACTGCTCCTTTGCACGTTAAAAGTTCTATCTAATAGTTTAAAATTGAAGAGAATAGGTCTAATGGGCCGCTGACCTGGCAGAATCTCGGATTTTGAAAACCTTTTCACCAGAAACAATCTGTGCACCTGTCATTCTGAATTGTTTCTAACTGGTATGTGTCTCAGTGGTGAATTGGTTAAGCTGCTTTGTGCTGTGAAAGTCGTGGGTTTGTTTTACAGACTTGTTGTTAAGTTTTTACAGAGATCCTGCAGATCATTGCTGAAGCTGTGGAGTTCGTATTTTGTGTGGCTGTCCGTTTTGTGGAGAAAGGCTGAGGATAAAACCCAGTGTGATAAAGTCAATTCTCTCGACTTTAACTTTAGTTTGATTAAATTTTGACAAATTTGTATATTTTTGAAGAGCATGGCTTTTTTCCTGGTGGTATGCAACGGTAGACAGTACTGGCGCCCTTTTCAGGCATAATATATTTCAGCACTGTACTGTAATAGACATTTTATGATGAGCGCTGGTACGTTTAAAATAAATTAATAAATGCTTTATGGTGAGTACCGGTACCTTTTTCAAGAAAAAGCCTTTCTCCGAGTAGGTATGGAATATAATTTAATCGGCAGCTAAAATTTAACAGTTTTAAAACATCCTATACATCGTGTGCCAAATATTTCCCATGGTATGAGAAAAACCCTTTGTTTTGTGCCCCGAAAGTCAGCTGCCACACAATACAACTGCTGTGTCAATTATAATTAATGTCAAAGGGCTTGTTGTTGCAACTTTGTATTTTTACCAGAATTGATGACTGACCCCGTAGAAGGGGGTATTTTTGTTTATAGTTATGACATGGGTGCAGCTTTGTTAAAACCTGGGGTAACTGAGATAATAAAAGTTTTCATTCTGTTACTGGTCATATCACTATTGGGGGGGGGGGGGGGGGGGGGGGGGGGGCTACTGCATTCTTACACCCCTGATTAGCATGTAAAGTGACCTTATGCATTTTTGCCTTTTTGTTTTTCTAGAAGTCTTGCTGGTTTAGCAGTTAGTGTCTTCACTGCCAGCACACTGATCTTGTGTTCAGTCTTCTTTAGTGATGAATTTACCCCTATCATTATTGTTCTATGGCCAGCCCAGCCGTATGAAAAAAGTATAAGATTGTTCACATGCTAAGTAAAATGGTCACCAAGACGGTGTTGCTGTACCAGTTTGCCTCAATTGATACCTTAACACCTCAGTCCCCTAGTGCAGAGCTATTCAGTTGATGGCCTGCAGAGGCCTAACAAGTGGCCTGTGGATCATTGCTAGTGCAGGGAGTCCTCCTGTCCCCACTTCTTCAGCATCTATGAGGCAGTCAGTACATTGGAATTTTTCAACATAGGACTGGTCAGTGCTTCATTAATATCCTACCCCAAACAGGGGAAATCCACAGGTCACAGGACAGTCTAATATTTCAGGGGTAGTAGATAGGCTGCATGCAGTTGTGGGACCTAGGCTGCACTCTCTCGTGGGATATGGGTGGGTTGGGGTTAGGGCCAGTTCTAAATGTTTTGGGATCGTTAAAAGCATCAGAAAGCCAGGAAACCCAGTCTTACCACCATCTAAAATGTTGGACTGTCCTGTGACGTAATTTGGGGTAGGCTACTAATAAAGCACCGACTGGTCTGCTAGCAATACCAGTTTCATGATCTTTTTATGTTGGAGCTCTGGCCCATGATGATCCCCTATTTTCAAAGTGTTGGCCCATGAGTAAACTTAGTTGAATAGCCTTGCCCTGGTGTTATGTAAGTGACCTCACTTTACCTAGCTTTATTCACAGATTTCAGTCATTTCCTTTTTGCAAAACTTTTATTAACATTTTTTATTTCTCGCCATGTTTCAGATAGTCACTGTTCATGATGTTGAGAAGAAAATTGTGATCGCATAAAACTTGCTTGCAAGACAACCTGGCACAGTCAGTGTAAATTTTTATTGTAAAACCTGCAATGGATTATGGGTGGGACTCATCCGATGATGAAGGATGTATGGCAATAGACTTGGATGCACAGCAGGAGGAACATGATCATCACACGAGAAAGCCTGGAATAGGTAAATAATTTATCTTATTCACCATGCCTAACCCTTTCTGATACCTGTAGCCAACCTAGAGGCTAGTTGACCCCTGCCCCTCTTTTCTGGTATCAGATGTCCTTCACTACTCTTTTTTTCCCAACCCACCATGGTGTTTAAAGGTGACCACCATTTTTTAGTTTCCAAGAGGTTTCCTTCAGTTCTTCTCTTCTTGCTCCTTGATATATTCGAAGAATGTTTTTATTTTAAACGTAAGGGATCAAATTTTGTTTTGAATATTTATTATGTATGTGGTGCAAGTTCCATATTTTTATCGACCTGTCTATATTCAGTATGTTAAAATTGAAAAGAATTACTTTATTTCACGGATCTACCTGATATGACTCAGTCTTTCTCCGCAGAATGACTGGGCACCTGGCTAGTATTGCACAAAGCATGACCTCCATAGCTCCAGTGACGATGCTTGGGGGCCTCCATACAAATTGCACTTATGAACTAAATTAGATGTGTGAATCTCATCCCTTATGAGCTAAAGCACACGTGTGTGAATCTCATCCCTTATGAGCTAAAGCACACACGTGTGAATCTCATCCCTTATGAACTAAAGCACATGTGTGAATCTCATCCATGACCTTCAGAGCAAGGTAGCCTGCTTGACCACTGTGTGCCACATAGAACACACCTAGTACCTGATGAGGTCAACCTTGTGCTGGCTTTAAAAGAAAAACAACTTACACAAGTATTTTCTTGTGCCCATATTATGCTTTTGATCTAGGGGCCTTGGGTCACTTTAAAAGAAAATTGGCATTGGTGGGCATTCAAAATATAACCTGAGCCAACAGGCAGGTGTGCTGGCTACTTCTTCTCTCTGTTTCCCACTATAGGGTTTATCCCTTATCTTTTGCCAGAATCAAGACGGAAATTTAAAACTCAGATTAGAATAGCCATTAGAACTCATTGAAACTTTTCCCTTCCAGGACGCAGTTCAACCTCCTCACATAAAAGAAGCAGATCATTTTATTTAGACTGCGTACTGGACACAACAGACTCTGCACGCACATGTACAAGAAATTCAAGATTAGAGATTCAGAACTTTGCACAGACGCCACAGAATACCAAACATGTGTTGTAGACATGCTCTCTACATGCAGTAGAGAGAGATCCCAGGTCTAGCTGGTTGGCATTTCAGTGGAAACCAAGCTGTATGGAACTGTGGACCACAAGCTTCATTATCGGCCTGTGGCCTGTTCATCCATAAAAACAATGGCAGGGAGAGCTAAAGAGAATGAAAAGAAGGTGACAGCAATTTACAGCAAAACAAAGAATATCAAAATCAAACAGAACCTGAAAGTACTTCTGTCCTGAAAGTTCTTCTGTCCTGAAAGTACTTCTGTTCTCCAGGGAGGGCAGTGTGGGGGTTATAAATGATTAGAAGTTAGTTGCAAGTTCCTTTTCAGGACTTTGTAGACCAATGAGAACTACTGCTTCAACAAATGCAGAAAGATATAAATGGATGCTATACCATATAAGGCATATACTAAGAGGACAGGGACGTAGAGCAAGAGGTAGTCCAAGAACAAGAGGGGAAGATAACACCAGAGAAACTCTACAGCACCACAATGTGTCTATGGCCGAAGCAGCCAGGACACAAAGCAAGACCTTATATCTCCGTCGACACCCGAAGCAGTGTAAGAGAACGTGAAGCAGAATCAGACCAACTACAGCAGTTATGGACTGTTGTATGGTATTAGACAATTTTATGTTCATTAGGTTTTGTTTGCTTTTTGAATGGGGCAACACTTTTACTGTTTTCAGAGTAAACGCAACATGGTCTGCAGCCTTCTTTTTGTGCATTCACCTTAAATGTTGTGGTTAACATGTCATGTTATGGTTTTCAGCTAGGCTGTGATATCTGCACCTTTCTCCTTATCACATCCAAATTCAGCAAATCCTTAATTGGTCACTTTTATAATATGGTTGTAAAGGAGCAGTGGGTGGCAGACACACGGAAAAATCTGGTAGTTAAAAAATTTCAGTAGTAAAATTTTATAACGTTGTCCAGGTTTTTTCTCCAGATAAACTAAAATGTTTTTTTTTTTTTAAATCCACAGATGGTAGCAGAAAGCAAACTTCGCTGGTAGAAGATTATGACCCATCAGAACCCACAGATGACTATGACCCATCTGAACCTACAAGGGGTTCTGACTCTGAAAGTCCCAGTAAAAACCGTTATCTAAATAAAAATGCTATAAGGTCCAACCAGAAGTATGACCCAGCAGAACCTACTCTGAGTGACGAGGAGGAAGATACTAACACAGGTTTGAAAGAGGATAGGTATTGCTCACCAGTCAGTGATGAGAATGATGGAAGGTGGGATTCCCAGTTGCCTATGACCCAGGAAGACAGCGCTCCAAGCCCTGGTGCAGATAGTGCTGATGATGTTGAAGATAAATCTAATATGAATAGCAGTAGTCAATCTAAGGAAACTTACCAGAATGACCATGCAAGGAACAGAGATGACGATTTGAGCAGGGCAGAGAAGCCATCACAGACCAGCAGATCTAAAAGTGAAACTCCGTTAGGACCTGCAGATACTGATGACACTAGCCAAAATTCCATTCTTGATGACATTGATGTTCCAGAGGTCACCTTTGATGACAGTGATTTTGTTTTAGAGAAAGAGCCACTTGATAATGACAGCGCACAGCCAACTGGTGCTCACAGCCCTGTTCTTGAAAAAGAAAACAGCCAAAGACACAGAAAAGATTCCCATAAGGGGGTGGATAATGCGTCCCAAAAAGGGGAGGATAATGCGTTCCAACAAGGGGAGGATAATGCGTCCCAACAAGGGGAGGATAATGCTTCTCAAGATGCAGAAGGATCAGAATCTCCAAATAGTGAGCAGAGGCGTTTGTATTCCCAGGAGGAGGAAGAGGAGGACCGGGATAGATTTAGGAAACAGAAGGAGGTGGATACTCGCAATGAGGAAGCTCTGGTGGATTTGTTCAGGGAGGAAAGTGATGCTGACAGGATAGAGCAGGATGTGGCACAGCCGGTTAAAAAAACGAAAAAGAAACTGAACTCAAAGAAAGTCAAAAAGAAAGGGAAGAAGTTGAAAAAAGACCAGAGTAAGAAGAGCCAGGGCAAGCAGCTAAAGGATTCCACTGTTGAGGACCAACGATTTGTGGAGATCAGGAGGGATAGACAGAGTACTGAGATAAGGGAAGAGGGAGAGTTGGAGGGCGACGGTGGAAACAGTCACAGGAAATCATATGGGGAAAAGATGTCACTTGAGATGTACGAGCAGGTTTTTGAAATAGGAGCCGGTGGAAACCAGGATGATGATGAGCAGAGGGAGCCAGGGGAAATTGTAGAAGAAGGTAAAAAGAGATGGAAGAAGAGGGACAAAAAGGAAAAGAAGAAAAAGAAAAACAGGCGAGAAGTTGCAACGGTTGAAGAAGCGAATCAAGGAGATGAGGACTCACAAAAGTTTCCTTCGTTTTTGGCTGGATTTTTTGTGCAAGATGAAGGAGGGGAGGAAGAGTTGGAAGAAAATGTAGAAAATTTATCAAGATCTTTTGAAACTGACAATGACAGGACTTTTCAAAAAGGTGGCAAGATTTATAGAAAACGCCACAGCTCTGAAGCTGAAGATTCAGTAAAAAGCTTTGACCAGAATGTGACTGAAAGTCAGGAGGTTCGAACCCAAGAAGTGGAGCACAGAAAGAATAGAAAACATGAGGAGAGGAGTCATGAGGCAAGGGATAGGAGGCAATATGAAGCGAGAGATGTAAGAGAAGTTCGTCGTGAGAGAGAACATCACCATACTACTCCGCGAGAAAGAGACAGGGATAGGGATCATGAGCGAGAACGAGAGAGGGAGCGAAGCCGAAATGAAAGAGAAAGAGAACGGGTGAGGGTCAGGGAAAGAGAAAGGGAGAAGGAACGAGAGAGGGAACGTGAAAGGGACAGAGCAGTGGTGTGGGACAGAGACAGGGACCGGAGCCGTAGACTAGAGGTTGAGGAGAGGAGAGGACACCATGAGGTGGAGGAGAGGAGAGGACACCACGAGGTGGAGGAGAGGAGAGGACACCACGAGGTGGAGGAGAGGAGAGGACACCACGAGGTGGAGGAGAGGAGAGGACACCACGAGGTGGAGGAGAGAAGAGGACACCACATCCGGAGTTCGTCACATGAGCACAGGCGCCGATCAAACACTGCAGATAGAGCCCGCAGGTCTCGATCCAGGGACCGATCATCACGGCATAGGCGTCATAGAACAAAATCTCGTGAACGATCAGCAGAAAGAGAGCGTGAGCGAGAAAAAGAGCGAGAGAGATCAAAGCGTAGGCACAGAGAAAGAAATCATGAGAGAGAAACAGAAAGAAGAGTTAGACGGGCATCACATTCACGGTCACGCAGTCCCCGCCATAGGTCAGAGAGAGCAGGTTCAGATAAGGAGAACAGAGATGAAAATCATAGGAGGAGAAGGCATGTTCGTGCGCATGGACGGAGCGAATCAGAGGAAAGGGAAGAAAATCATCGCAGACATAGGAGGGAAAGAAGAGAGCTAGAGAGAGGTAGTAGTGCTTCTTCATCATCATCTGCCAGTAGTGACAGTGGTGCCAGACACAGAAGTGGGCATAACTACAGTTTCCTCAGTCATTATTCTTCCGATGAAGGTGAATCAAGCGACGTCATACTTGTGGAACCAGAGAGAATTGTGATCAATCTGGACGAAGAAGAGGACCCTCCTTCCAGAGTCGACATTACTCATGCCAACACCGAAGACGACAGTACAAAGTTAGTTGATGGTGAGAGCATACCACCCCCACCTGAGCTGTCAAGAAACTCCAGGAGCAGTGCCCTAATACAGATCAACCCTGCAGAGCCTGAAACTGAAGAAGCCAATGACCACTCCGAGGAAGGTGATGCAACTCCAACAAGAGATGAACGTAGTGATGAAGCACAGTCTCCTTGGCATAATAAAGTAGTGCAGGAATCGGATTATGATCCTGCTCATCCGACAGAAGAAGCTGAGGAACCAGAAAATAGGTCTTTATCACCAGATATCAACAGTAGTCCAGAACATACTCCTACAGAGTTGGGGCCCGCACCGCCGGATCACTCCCCGCTGGAAGAGCGCCGACCTACTCCACCACCTGGTCCTTCCGTAATGGAACCAAGCTCAAAAATTCCCCTTTCTCAAGAAGCATTCATGCCTGGAGTACCAAGGCCACCGCTGTCTCTCATGTCACCATTTCAGCGTCAACCGCTGCCACAGCAGCAAGTACCACAGCAACAGCCTCCATTGCTGCCTTTCCCTGGGGGTGCTGTTGGTGGGCCTGTGCAGGGTCAGAGATTTCCTCCATGGCCCCATGCTAACGGCCCTAATTCCCACATTCTGCCTCAGGGTAATGGCCCAATGTCTGGCTTTCGACCAGCTCAGCAGAGTTTTCTGCCCTCGCCAGATCCCCGTCCTTTCTTCCCTGTTGAAAATTCTCGGCTGCCGTTACCAATGGGAGCACCACTTCCACGCTTGTCTCATCCACCGCCTCAACGAGAGCAGCTCCTGCCCCAGCAGGCAAGCACAGCTCGCCCTTCGATGCCACTCTCTGCCCTGGCACCTTTGGCTCAGCTAACCAGCTTATTGCCAGCATTAGAAAGGGCCAAAATGGCCATCCACAGAGATGATCATAGCATATCACAGTCTGCCCAGATACTTAAACATTCACTGCAGGCGGTAGTCACGCAGCCAGCTGTTGTAGGGAAAAGTCCTCTTGTGAGCAGTTCAGCCACAAATATATCTGTATCTGTTCGATCATCTCGAGGGGAGCAGTCAGAGTCAACTGAAGTGGTTGACATGGATATGAGCCCAGGGGAAGACGACTGCGAGCTAGAACTCCCATCTCCAAACTCATCTGACAGCGAACGGGTTGGCAAGAGGAGAAAGGCTCGGAAATCAGATTCTAGAGTGACAAAGGCAACAGCTGCTTCTGGAACAGAGAAGGGTTTAATTCAGCCAGCGATGTATTTGAAAGCTTTGAGCAAAGCTATAGAAAAATTGACACCCAAGACACAGGTGACATCCGCAGGAACAGCTGCAACAGCTGCAGCGCAGGAGAAGACAAAGTCGCACTCTGGAAAGAAAAAGAAGTTAGAAGTTGAAGATGATGTGCCTGCCTCGGCTGTGGATCTAACCAACAAGGAAAAGGTATTGTTCTCTAAGCATTTTTATCACACTGACAACTGACATTTTATTCATTTATACTCTGTATTGGGTCTGCATAAATTTGTGGGCTGTCGCGAAAGTTGAGATATAGTTTTTCCCTCATGACCTTTCTGTAAAATTCTGTAAATTATCCATTTTACAATGCTGGATTGACTGCGCTGAAGAAAGAAAGAAACACTGTCAGCGTGGCCAGGTTAAATAATCCTTCACTGTGGTGGGGTTGACCCTGCACCAGTCTTTATAAATGAACAAAAAGATACCATTATGTTTGAAGGGTAGTGGTGCTTCATTCATATCTTGTAAATTTCTGCTGTATGCACACAGTGTTACAATTTAACAGAGGATAAGGGTCTTAGGTTTGCAGTGACTCCTTTGATCCATGTTGTTGTAGGTCTCCCTCTACTTTGTGGTGTTTCCACATTCATATTGTATGCTTTAGCTGCTGGCAGCTTTATAGTCATTTTAATTAGGTGACTGAATCATTGAGTCTGTTTCTCAGCGAATTTAACATTTAGTATTGTTCCAGTAGTTCATCTGATCTCTTCATTTCTCACATGATCTTTTCTATTTTGTTCATTCTTTCAGTTTTATCTAAACTTTGTTCGTATTTGAACAAAGAAGACATAAACAGTAGATTAGATGTTACTGCAGTCTGGCTAAGGTTGCTGATTCAGTCATTACTTGGTGAATTTAATCATTCCTCTACCCAAGGGCATTCAGTATATCAGCCTTGTTCAATTCTTGCCTTTGTTTTTCTACATTAGTCCTACCAACAAAATCAGCCTGTTTGTTGCCTTTTAGACCCGCCTAAACTCAGCCTTTCAGTATCATCATTTTGTCATTATAGATCACAAATGGTTTGAAGCTCATATTTCCATTTTATTTTATCCTCTTCACTTGTAACAGTGCAATAGTCTAACACACTTGGCCTTTCTCATATGTGTTCATCTTTGGGTTTCTCTCAGATGTCCACATTTCCTAAACACATCTGTTTCCCATTTATGTGCTTGTTTTGCAATGCTCTTCTTGGTTCTCTGGATGTGTCAAATTTAGCACCATCTTCTTAAGCTTATAACTTGGAACCACCTGTTGTCTTGGTGACTTTTGTTATCAGTTTTTGCCTTTGTAGATTGGATTTTATTATATTTTAGATCAGACTCACCCTTCTGAAGTTTGCCTCATGGCATTTTAGGCCTTTCTGTATATTCTTATATATGATGTTTTACAGTTTTACACCTGACATCATGTATATCTTTACACATTTTACAAGTCTTTGTACTTTGTCCACAGTACCTCAAAAAGCTACACTTACAAGAGAGAGTAATTGACGAGGTGAAGTTAGCAATCAAGCCATTCTACAGTGCAAAGAAAATCACAAAGGAACAATATAAACTGATACTCAGAAAAGCTGTGCCCAAGGTATGCATGAATGTTTCATTTGTGAAACTTGTCCTTGTATGTAGGTAAGCACTTTATCATGGCATATACAGTAAAACCTCATTAACACAAATTCCAAGGTACTAGAAAAATGAGGTCATGCTAAAAAAAATGTGTGCTAAATCTGTGACTAATATCGTTTTGCTGGAACCAAAATTATGTTCATGCTAACCAAGTGTACTTCTCAACCCTTTCGCCCTAGTGACCCTAGAAAAAATTCCATTGCTAATGCAATGACTTGTATTTCAGGAATTACCAATTACCTTTGTGTGACCATAAAAAAGTCTCTATGGTGACTGACCTGGTTACGAGCTGACGCTAGTTTAAATAGGAAACTGATGTAGGCTTTCTATTAAAAAGCCATTTGTTTACAAGGAAACCTCCCTAAACACGTTTTTTTTTTTAAAGAAAGTGTAATTGAATTGGATCCTTCTGAACTTTTGGCATGGGCACATACTATACCACTGCTGTTAGCTCTGCTCCTTAGAACAAGCCGCTACAGGCAAGTCAGTAAAGTGACTTTTATGGGGAAGTTGGACCTACCGGGATTGGCAGTTTTGCATCTTTTTAGGTGACAGGGTTGAGCAAGTCTGTTAACGAGGTTTTACTTTATTGCAGTAAGGGTTGAGGGCTGTTTGTAAGTAATAACAAGAAAAAAAACCTTTGCATCCTTTTGGTGTGTTGGCATATAGTAATAGAATGGTTGTTTAAATTTTTAAATAGAACAATGAGCACTCGATAGGAGATGTGATCAACATCATGCCGGCTGGTTTCACTTCCCTGAATGTGATTAGTATGATTTCTTGACTTCCCCTCCAGCAGATCTTTTAACATGTAGTTTCCATAATTTTTTTTATCACTGAGTATGTTCCTTTCCTTATGGCCTTTCCTGGAACATCCTGTAAGTTATTAACACTGTCAGCTGCGAATTCTCATAGATCAACCAGGTGTAGTCCTAGTCATCATCATCAATTACTGTGTCTGCATTGGGCAGCTGCAAAGTCCTTTGTCTTGCATCTTTTGACCAGATGAACTATTGGAACAATACTAAATGTTAAATTCACTGAGAAACAAACACTCAATGGTTCAGTTACCGTATAGGACAGTCCTACAAACTACTTTCTGTACCTCTCTTGTTATTGTCTCACACATACAATGTGGTTTGTCTCCTTCATAGGGCAGTCCTACAACTACTTTCTGTACCTTTCTTGTTATTGTCTCACACATACAATGTGGTTTATCTCCTGCATAGGGCAGTCCTACAAATTACTTTCTGTACCTCTCTTGTTATTGTCTCACACATACAATGTGGTTTATCTCCTTCATAGGGTAGTCCTAGAAACTACTTTCTGTACCTCTCTTGTTATTGTCTCACACATACAATGTGGTTTGTCTCCTTCATAGGGCAGTCCTACAAACTACTTTCTGTACCTCTCTTGTTATTGTCTCACACATACAATGTGGTTTGTCTCCTTCATAGGGCAGTCCTACAAACTACTTTCTGTACCTCTCTTGTTATTGTCTCACACAAACAATGTGGTTTATCTCCTTCATAGGGCAGTCCTACAAACTACTTTCTGTACCTCTCTTGTTATTGTCTCACACATACAATGTGGTTTGTCTCCTTCATAGGGCAGTCCTACTAACTACTTTCAGTACCTCTCGTGTTATTGTCTCACACATACAATGTGGTTTGTCTCCTTCATAGGGCAGTCCTACAAACTACTTTCTGTACCTCTCTTGTTATTGTCTCACACATACAATGTGGTTTGTCTCCTTCATAGGGCAGTCCTACAAACTACTTTCTGTACCTCTCTTGTTATTGTCTCACACATACAATGTGGTTTGTCTCCTTCATAGGGCAGTCCTACAAACTACTTTCTGTACCTCTCGTGTTATTGTCTCACACATACAATGTGGTTTATCTCCTTCATAATTAACCCTTAAAAAAGGCAGTTGGCATGTTATGTTGTGGCTATTCCAGGCCACAGCCCCTGCACCTTTTGGCCAAATCTATCCTTTGATTTCAGCAGAATCCTAGTCGGTCACTAAAAGTGTCTGGGAACCCACCCACAGACTGATTTTTATTTAAAGCTTTGCTTGGCTTGTCCCTGCAGTTTATCTTTTTTTTTAATCTAGTTGTTGTTTCTTTTCATGACTAAAGAATGTTGTCTTACCTTGATCGCATTTAGAAGTATGGATATTTTCTTTCATACCATATTTGCCATCATTCTTTTCTTCCATCCTGTTTGCAATAATTTTTTTCCTTCCACTGTGTGTTTGCAGTAAGTAATTCTTCTACACTTTCACCGGCTGTAAACTCTGCGGCAGAAAGTTCTAGTTGTTATCCACTTTAGATTGTCTTGTCTTGTCTTGTTCACAATTGCCTCACAGCGTAGTGGGGAGTCGCAGTTTTCTATCCTGGGCCAGGTGTGTTGCACGTGTTGTTGTTAGTCCGTGTTGCCTCAGGATCTCTGATATATTGTCTATCCATCGTACTCTCGGTCTGCCTCTTGCTCTAGGGCAGTAGTGCTGTTCGTTGTATGCTCGTAGAGGCAGTTGGTCGGTTTGCATTCGCATCAAGTGGTCAAACCACTCTATTTGTTGCTTCTTTATGTATTGCAGGCATGGTGTGGTTCCTACAATTGCTCTAATGTTCTCGTTTCGAACTCTGTCTCTCCTTGTGACATTGGCAGCCTTACGTAAGCATCTCATTTCGCACGTCGTGATCTTTTTCTCCTGTGCTTTTGTTAGGGACCAGGTTTGGCATTGGTAGCAGAGGGTTGGTATAAACATGCAATTTATCAGTTGTCGTTTTAGTGCCATAGTGATGCTTGGGTGTTTTAGCAGTGGGGAGAGTTGGTAAGTTACTGCGTTCGCCTTTTGACATCTTGCCTCAAGTTCCCTATCAATTCTTCCATCATCAGTGAAGATGCTCCCCAAATATTTCGTATCTGAAGTATCACTTTAGATTATCTGGTTGAAAAGTGAGGAACCAGTAGTCTGCCCACAAATAAACCATATCTGAAAATTAATATGCAAACAAAACTCAGGTTCTGGAACAAGACCAAAGCCCAGAAGTAGACAGACAACCAGAACTTTCTGTCAGAGTTTAGAGATGGTGAACGCTCAGAAGAAGAAAAGAAGAATAGATAAGCTGGAAAATGAGAATGTCACTTAACATATTTATATCATTTTTATAAAGAATTGTATGAACGAGAATGGGTGGAGGATTTTAGGTGAGCTGCATGCAATCAGTATCAAACGATATGACAGCATTACATAAGTAGGTTGAGGACCTATGCTACATTGTGGGGTATAGGGCAGTGAAAGAATATTTGTTTGCATTTGTTTTGCGTCTTTTGTCTCTTCTCCATAAAATGATTATAGCCAGGAGAATATGCCTTGTTAACTATTTCAGTACTAGAAGGTTGGCAGAAGATTCTCAAGCCAGTATGGGAAATAACCATTATAAAGCGATGGGTGCATCAATTCTATTTAGACTAACTGCAGTGGAAGTGGCCAGGTGTTTTAGTAAGCTGTAACCAGATGTAAAAAAACACATAATTCAATGGCTGGGAGTCTCATTGGCATGTGATAAGAGGCCATCACACACCAGGCGTAACTTGGGGCTCAGAGAGTCAACAGTGAGAACTTTCTGTTGACATAGACCTATATACTTGAGTTTGTTCACTGTTCTGCCATAGTGAAACTGTTAACATAGACCCGTATGTTTGTTCACAAGTCTTCCATAGTGAAACTGTTAACACCGCCCCGTATGTTTGTTCACAGGCCTGCCATATTGAAACTGTTAACATAGACCCGTATGTTTGTTCACAGGTCTGCCATAGCAAAAGTGGTAACATAAACCCACAGAAAATTCAGCAGCTTGTTGAAGCGTACGTGGGCAAACTAAAAAAAGGAAAGACCCCAGGCGGGGGTTTGAAAAAGAAACGTGCGGCCAGAGATGCACAGACTTCAAAAGATGCCACCACAGCGCCGGCCAAGCAGAACGGCGAGTGGGCTAAAAAGCCTACCAGATAATTTGTTAGGAAAATTGAGTGTGGTGTTCTGTACATAAATGTAAATGCAAGAATGACATTGTGTTTGTATGATTTTTAATATAATTTATAACTTCAGTCACTGCTGACTGAAAAGTGGAATATTAGAATAATATGTGTGCGATATATTATGGGGAAATTGAAAACTATATGAAATTAAACACACACACACACACACACACACACACACACACACACACACACACACACACACACACACACACACACACACATTCATGCAAATTCATAATGATGCCTATGTGAGAAGAAGGGATTGCTAAAAGTACAATCATTTTTATTGAGTTGGTGCTCATGTAGTTTAGTGTGATTGATTTGATTTCCTCTCAGAAAGGTAGCTTGGTATATCAGGTTTACAATATTTTAGTACTGCTTCTTTGTTTGATTTCTTCTCAGAAAAAAAAAAAAAACACACACACACCTGTTAATTAGGATGAAGAAAGCTCAGAAGTATTGTTAGGTTTACAGGTTTAAGTGCTGCATCTCTGGTCGATTCTTTCTGAGGAAAAGATTGAGGAAGCATAGCAGCAGTATCAGGTTTACATGGTATGTCAGATTTAGGGATTTGGCTGCTGCATCTCTGGTCGATTCCTTCTGAGAAAAAGATTGAGGAAAGCATAGCAGTAGTATCAGGTTTTCATGATATGTCAGATTTAGGGATTTGGCTGCTGCATCTCTGGTCGATTCCTTCTGAGGAAAAGATTTAGGAAAGCATAGCAGTAGTATCAGGTTTACATGATATGTCAGATTTAGGGATTTGGCTGCTGCATCTCTGGTCGATTCCTTCTGAGGAAAAGATTGAGGAAAGCATAGCAGTAGGATCAGGTTTTCATGATATGTCAGATTTAGGGATTAAGCTGCTGTATTTCTGGTTGATTCCTTCATAGAAAAGGTAGTTTGGTTGAGGAAAGCAGGGTTAGACTGTTTGTATACTGCTTCTGCGTAGTTGTGCATGGCAGGACAGTTAGCCGGTAAACATCTAATCTTGTAGCCACGAATTCAGTGCTAAGTCTGTATGATTTTATGCCTTCTGTATGTGCCCTTGAAAGCATTGTTGGCATGTTGTGTTGTGGTTTACATGCCATAAAAGGTGACTAAATGAGGATTTGTTGAGTTTTGCAGGTATCGCATCCTAGATGTAAACAACAGTAACCACCCTTTGAAGATTGAATGCAAAAGAAGAAGAATTTTAAACTCTTGTATGTTCGAAGTATGGAGCTCTAGTCTTCTATGAGAGTAGAAATCGTCTTATTTGTAAATGTTTATTGTAAAGTGCAGTGTATTTAATGCAGTTGAATACCTGGTTATGTTGTTTTACTGTGAGATAAATATTCCTTGTTAACATCCCTGATTTCCCTATCCAACCCTTGTGTGTAGAATAAGTGAACATCCTAGCAGTCTTATACATTTACCAGGGTATGTAGCCAACCTTGAGACTTGATTTTGACCTTGAATGTGCGGCTCTACCCTAGAGCCTTGATTTTGGCATTGGTGAAGACCAATTCACCTTGAACAGGACTAATTTCCAGTCTTTTACGGGGTAACGAAATAGACCTTCCTGATGAGTATAAGCTGCATATCATTGCAACACATGAAGTCATCTACATTTATCTTTGGATGGGTAAGCGATGAAAAATAGAAGGTTGTTTGATGAAGGTTATCTCAATGCCTAAAGATTGTATCTTTTTGTGTGACATACTTCACACCATGTGTAGAACATTGGTATCAGACTTACCTTTATATTTCATTTACACTGAGGCTTAAATAGCACAGTGGCTAGGCATTTGCCCGCTGGCTCAAATTTATGAGGTTTAGATCTGGATAATGCAGATTTTTGGGGTACTGGGAATAGTCAGATCTTTCCCTTTACAGCCGGTGAGTGCTAAGAAGAGGAGGATCAATGAAGCCTGAATCACATTACACATAGCAGAGATTTGACAGTAACTGGACACTGAGGCCAATATAAGTACTAACAAGATTAAAGAGAATGTGTTCGCACGCTTACACTGACTTGTAGAGACATTGTAGGTTTCATAAACATGGGATTTTGAGGAGACCCACTACCAGTACAGTGGGTGACTGCTGCTACATAGTGATACCATTATGTTGATTTTGTACCTGTTTCTTTTAGAAATACTATTTCTTCCAAATGAGTTAGCTCCCCACTTGAGTTCTGCAATATGATACCAATTTTGTGTGTGATTTCTTCATTGTGCATGGGTGGAATTCTGTCAGATTTTGAAAGGGGTGTGGCCAGACTAGAGCACTGTGCAGGAGGCTAGAGAAGAATAAGAAACCAACACAGAACCAGTGTCGTCAGTTCCTACACGCTGCAGGATTTACTGAGGAGGGGATCCGAGCATTTATGGACTGAATGGTTCAGTGTGCAATGAGGATAGTCTTTCGACTGTTTAACTGTTCTATTTTATCTCATGTGTTGAGCCCAAACCAAAGCCTGCTTGCTGCTATCATTTCCAACCCAAGATTTACTGCATGGTATAGATGATTGACTGAATGATTGTTTCTTTTTTTTATGGGGGTCATTGTTTGGCATCCTGCCCATATGATGCTGGACTCATATATTTTTATATATACTTCTGTGTTCATTTGGAGAACAAAGGATAATCCCTCTGCTTCCCTAACACACATGTCTTAGGAGGCATCTAGGAGCGTTTCCTTCAAGGACGGAATGCATCTGCCTCAGAGGCAAGGAACCAACAAGCTGCATACAAGTTAGCCACATTTTTAAAACAGATGTGCATGCAAAACTCAAATTGTGAATCAGAAATGAAGTCCAGGAGTGGACAATCAGAACTTTCCACTAATGTGTACAGCCGGAGAGTGTGAAGAAGAAGAAGAATAAGACAAATCCCCAGGTCATTACCTGGTACCCATTTTGGGCTGGGTCGACCTGAGAGCTAAGATCATTTTCCCCTCAGAATCTGTGGTCATTATCGGCCGCTTAATTACTTGAGAGTTACCCAAGGTTAAGGGAAAATTAATTGTCTAGCAGAGCTGTGGTAACCTGTTCATTTCTTGTTTTTTTAAAACCTTTAATAGTATACGTCATGTTGTTGTTTTGTTACTGCCATTATATAACCTTGTGCTGATTGTATGTATGTTCGATATGTATATTCTTGTGAATATGAAAAAAAAAATTAAATGCTTTTAACAAAAATCTGTTAGGTTTTGTTTGTTTGTTGGTTTAACTGTAATTTGGTTAGTATAAAAAGATGACTGGCTGTGAGTGGTGTATCTTTCTTTATTTGCTAGACATAATATTTATGTCATAGTTTTTAATAATTAATGTAAATAATGCTTAAAGTTGTTGATGATTTGTGTTATTTGTTTCGGATAAGAATGATGTTAATTATGAATTTGAGTCATGATATCTTAATATGTTATAATTAAATTGTGCAAATGACTTTCGCTGCCTTTAATTTCACCCTGTTTGGCTTGCCTCGGAAAATGTGCTGGTACCCATTCTCTGAGGTATTGACTGAGAAATTTGCTGATACCCATTCTCTGAGGTATTGAATCAGAAATTTGCTGGTACCCATTCTCTGAGGTATTGAATCAGAACTTTGCTGGTACTCATTCTCTGAGGTATTGAATCAGAAATTTGCTGGTACCCATTCTCTGAGGTATTGAATCAGAAATTTGCTGGTACCCATTCTCTGAGGTATTGAATCAGAACTTTGCTGGTACCCATTCTCTGAGGTATTGAATCAGAACTTTGCTGGTACCCATTCTCTGAAGTCTAGCCTCAGAACTTTGCTGGTACCCAGTCTCTGAAGTCTTCAACATCAGTTGTTGTTATGAAATAGGTTTGTCCTGTGGGAAATAGTTTTAAACCATAGACTACTGAACTGAAGGTTATGTTCTCTTGCTACTACAATTATTTAGTGATGAGCACAGAAACAGGCTGGTTGATCAATCAGGTTGTTCCCTCTGGGCTGCTACCTATAGGTTTGCCATTCCATCCTAATATTTTGAAAAATCTGTCTGGACGGCCAACCAACAACGTACGTCCCAGGGCACCCTGTTCAACCTCCAGAATAGTTGAATGAGGGCACCGGTAAAACCCACACGTGCCTGGTGTGACCTGCAGTCTTTGAGTAACTGTTGGCTTGTCGTGTGAGGCAGTTACACATTAATTGCCTATTTCTGTGCCCGATCTGTATGTATTTGCCAGATGGTGCTAGGCCCATACTGTTTTAGGCCAACCCAGGCTTGATAGATGATGGGGTCCACATCATACCAGTCGCCTTTACCTCCCAGAACATTCCATTTAAACTGGGTTCACCCGGAAGTTAATGTGTGGGGGAAAAAATGCTTTGAAATGGATTTGAACCTAAGACTAACAAGCAAGTGTGGTAGTCACTGCACTACTGATTCTCCCTCCAGGTAGGTAAGGAAGGGCTATTTTCCTTGTAATACATTGACAGCACACTGCACTGTCATCCTTGTAATACATTGACAGCACACTGCACTGTCATCCTTTTTGGGGCATACCACCCCCCCCCCCCCCCCCCATCCTAGATCAACTGCAATAGCACTTTGTGATGAGTACCAGCACTTTTTTAGTCTCTGTAGAGGGGGAGGGGGGGGGGGGTGATGTAAGGTAATTTAGTTTAAAATTACTACACATTGTTTTTAATCCCATGAATCTAACTCCAAAACTTACCATGTTGTAAATTAGCGGTGTGCTTTCCCCTTGCCATCCATTAGTCATTACATAGATGTTGAAAATAATTGAACTGCAACATTTACTAGTTTTTTTTCCCCCCTTTTGTCAACAGCAATTGTGTAACTGCACTCTGGACAGTCCTGTAGGTGCTTAGTGTCCTCGAAAACATTGAAAGGTATGTGTGTTTGTTTTAGAACTCTGGTCGATAGCGTTTCTGTCATCTTGTCATGTTCGTGTTTCATCCAGTATTTTCTTCTTTTCCACCACTTATGTTA